CGCCCCCCCCCCCCCCCCCCCAAATATATTCACCCCGCCTCGTGGCGTATGTTTCATGCCGTGATTCATGTTAGAAAAATCGATTTCGTGAACGGATTTTTTTTTTAATGCAGTTCAGCTATCGGGAAACTCTGATTCACTGTCTAGCATTTCTTGTGGAGTATGCATGTTTGAAGCCAATGTTACGCGTATGTGAACTAAATCAGAGATGAATCACGTTAAGGCATCAGAAAATGAAATTCACTTGGAGATATGAAGGATTTATTAATCGATTTTGCTGTTCTGGGTAGCAACACCTTTTAATGATATACCGAGTTGCGACTGGAAATCCTGAAGGAAAGAGTACAGTCTTAAGATGTATTTGTAGATGGGAGGATAATATTAAAATGTGGATTGGTGTGACCTAGCCTAGAACAGGGGAATGTGTTGCTGTGATAGTTTGATGTTTTGTAGAAGGGTTTATGGAGCGTTAAACGTTAAGGAATCACAGGACAAAGAACTTGGAATAACGTTCGTTTATGTAGTTGGCGGCCACGCTGTGGACGGTATTACAATGCTCAGGACGTTCTATCTTAACCTAATGATGTATCTGCTCCTTCTCGTTGCGTATTCGTGGCATGCAGAGGTGTGCAAACCTGAGAAGACTGGAGCTGGTTATTCGTTGACACCCCCCCCCCCCCAAATACCACCTTAAATTCTAGTAAAGCCTTTTGTTGTAGTTCTAACTTCCATTTATCGATGTAAAACGCGTAAGAACTGATTACAGTTTTACGTGTATGACGTCAGTCGCGCGTTCATTTCCTTAAACAGCGTTAACTGATATTTGCAATGGTGAAGTGTAGTGTTTTCTTCGCGGTACGGGCTAAAGTAATAAGATTTGAATGGGCTTTGCACTTCAAAGGCTGAAAGACACGGTGCATTTTCGGCTTTGTCGTTGGGTTTCTGAGTTTGTGGTGTGACTGGCCCGCCTACTTATTTGCCTGCCTTTGTAGGCCTGTATGTTAATTGCGGCTACCGAGCGCTACATTAGAGCTTGGCGTTTCAGAGTAGGCTTTACAGCGCCGAATTCTTCCTGTTTTAACCGTGCGTGTTAAGCCCTGATTTTAATTAGGACTCATGCATATTTATGGACTGTGACAGGTTTATTCATACGCTTGAAGAGAAAAATCAGTTTTCGGGATTTTAAGTGACGCTGTTCGGGGTTTAGGCCCCATGTGGACTCGCCGGTAGATGTCAACGTTTCAGAGAAACTAACTGTATCCTTCTTCAGGTTTGAAATGGAGAGATACTGAGAAGTGGAGGGATTTATGTAGAGTCTGGAGGAAGGGGGAGCTGAGGGAGTGGGCTCCACTTTTCATCATCTCCACTTTAGCCCTGAAGATGGAGCCAGTGTGTTTATCCGAAACGTTGGCATGCACAGATAAATATACAGGGTGTCACAACACACTAGAACTTTTTTTAAGTTTTTCTTTGGAAATGTTTGAGTCCAAAATAATGCAGTTACGAAATATTGATGTATTTCAAAGGTGTTTAAGTGAAATTCATTGGGTTTTTTTCTTAGGGTTTAATAAGGTGATTAATGTGATCGTGTGAATAGATTTTGATGATTTTACTCTGCACACGCGAGTACTTCGGTTTTAAATAAAACAGGCCCATAAGTTAGTCTCAACATATGAGGGAAAGATATTTTTTATTTACGGAATTTTGGGATCTTTTATATCTTAGTGGTAATTTTACCAACTCTGAAGGTTCAAAGGGTTGTGGGAAAAAGAAGATGGCTGATTCCTCCTGAACCTCTGGACCATAACGAGGTTATCCAAACAGCTTTCACTAGCGACGTCCTTCCCAGTAGCCATTTCGTTGAGTGGTTTGGTAGATGTAATATGTCGAGAAACGAAGTCGAAACACATTTCCTCTCACCATGCCTTCGTTTTATCGATCAGGCAAGATGTTTCAGACATCGAAAGTAGTGATATCATAACGAGTGGGTTCACGGGATAAAGACTGGGCGAGAAGCTTATAGTGCGCCAACGACACAGAAAAAGCGACCGGAGTAGTGAACGGTGATGTCGAACGTCATTAAACCTCTCTCTCTCACACACACAAGCGCGGTCATCTAGGATACTTCTGGCTTCATAAATTCACCTTTCCCGGAAAATAAATTAAAAAAAAAATATTGGCAGGAGAAGTATCGAAGCAGACTGTACCTATAGGCCCGTATTGCGTAGGAGGGATTCAGGAAATCAATAGCACATAAGAGAGGACGCATCCAGAGAATTACGTACCGGGAACTTTGACTGCGATAAGGACCAGGACTCTCGGGACGCCGGAATTATTCGGCCACCGTAAGCGCTAGGGTCGAGTTTGCAACGTGAAGGCGTTCATGTCCTTTTCACGTGGAACACGCTGTAGATAAGATACTTTTCCGTCGAATTTTCAACTGGGATTACACTGGTGTATATATAATATAATGGCAGAGCGGGTGTTAAGACCTTTCTGAACCTTCCCCGCCAAATTACATCATCCATGCTTTAATTTCTGGTACAATTACTTTCTGGATGGGGATGAAATTGGTGATCGGCAGAATGACGAAAAGATTGGGGTTATATTTCAACCCTTATCTTTATATACCATCTCTTTTATCTATCACAGATACGTTAGGTATTCTACGACGACTGATGTCTGTAAATTAATTGTGGTACGATTTCAATACAAAACTTACGTGAAATGAATTTCAGCAGGGGTACCAACCTAGATCATACAAATGAAGTGTCGGTCCAGCAGTTCATGACGAAAGTATTCGTAGTTACCACATTTGTGCACGCGTACTCTTATGGGTTCCAAAGGATCAGAAGTTTTTCCTCACTGCCCTTTGGATGTAACAGTTAACCGGTTATAATATGACACATTTAATAACACACGCGGTTGAGCCGTAAAAACAGTAGATAATCGGCGTGGACCTCGTTGCTATGGAAACTTCAGGACGCAGGCTGCAGCGTAGGGAACATTTGGAATGGAAGATGTACCAAAATGATATGGTAGTGTATTTTGTAGCTTTCCTTACGGGGTGACCTCTGAGAAGATCAGTGTGATTGAAGTCCGTGGCTTGGAAACAGATCGTGTTACCATAACGACTGCAGCAGGCTAGCCATCGGTGGCGACGTGAAATTTGTAGTCAGAACCTTGTTATTAAGTTGATATAACGAAGTCAGTACGCACAAGAAGGATGGAGAAATTTATACGGAATTTTGGCTTGAAAATAGAGAGGCCTGAATTTGAGGGTAATATTAAAGTGGAGTCTGAGGATGGACAAGATTTATTTGCTTCAATATATGGTCGACTGGTGAGAGTTTGTAAACGCTAGAGAACAACGTGTCGGGTTTTATAAGACGCGGGGAATTTCTTAGCCACGTGAGCGACTGTTAGCTTATCGAACGCAACTCTGTTTTGTAGACTTAACGCAGATTATCGCTGTCTTAAGCTCTTGATTATTTTTTTTTTATTTTCTTTGCTTACGTTTCAGTTGCATGTTATTTGAATGCAGAATGTGAGCGCATGGACCGAGAAACCGCTTCATGCATGATATCCCTGCCCTCTGGTGCTGAACGAGTTGAAACTTTTCTTTTTGTGTTAGTTTCAAATAAGCAGTTGACAATCTACCTTCCAAAATGTTTCAACCGACAGTATGCGAAAGTAGTTGTCAAGAATAAACACGAATATAGTCGTTTTATTTCGATATAATCTAACAACGAAAAACATATATAAAAAAAGTAAGTTGTAAGTTAAATCAGCTGAATTGTATCCATGACAACAGAACAGAGAAACGAGATGTAATGGAAATAGGTTACCATTACCCGCGTACTGCCAACTTTTATTGCACGTAATAAAGCCATTTTCGCTTGGCAGTGGTGATCATTCAATTTTATGTCAACGGTATACAAAACCTATGTTATTTGATGTAATAACAGTTTATAAACATCAGACTGTGCTTTGTGGACTAGCGTACAAACGTTTTCGGGGACCCGGGCGGAGTTTGAGAGTTCGAGCCCGCTACCCGAATGTGTTTTACCCCGTCACTCCCTCACATGACCTCATCCCACCCCAAATTAACTCTAGACATCTTAACCTAACCTCCGAGTTAGTTTTAACAGAGGAGCAGGTGTAATCTTTGGTGAGTAGGGCTGCAATGTTGTCCTAAATCCTTGCTGAAATTTGTAACCGAACGGATGGATTAATCCAATACAAGAAATATGAGATGTGCGGGATGTGTAGCACACATGGGGAAATAAAAAAATACGTACAGAATTTTAGTCGGAAATCATTCAGGGAAGAGGCCATTTCGGAAATGTGAGAGTAAGTATGAGGATAATATTAAAATATATATCGAAAGATTAAGGTGTGCTGTAGACCGAGTAGGATCTGGTGGACGAAATTATGAATCCTGTGATGAACCTTCGCTTTCCATAAGTGAAGGGGTATTTCTTGACCAGCTGGGCTACTGTTAGTTTCTGAAGGACTCCGCTCCATATTATGATGTTGTTATTTCTTCGAGGGTGGATTTGTTAATCGCCAGGTAGCAGGTATCAGAAAGGAGAGATGTGGAAGAACGATTTAGCGTAATAGTTGGTGATACTAAGCGAAAAATAAGTGCCCATCCAGAGGAGAGCCTGATTCTGACGTGGTTTAGTGAAGAACATGTGTTGTGTCGAAAGAATTGCCTCTGCAGTGAGAAACAATGTCTTCAGACGCGCAGAACTTCCATGAAACGCAAATGTCCTTTTGGCCTTATCTTGTACAGCAGTTTCAGGAGTCAGGAGGTGACCCGAGCATAACTTGAAATAACGAATAAAAGAAAACGAGAAACTTCAAGTAAGTCAGAAGCAGCGAGATATAATGTCTGTCATCTTCACAGGCGGTGTAATGAAGACAGCTTCTGGTACTTGGACTGTGAGAGCAAGTCGCCCGGGGGACACGCGAATGGTAGCAGCTTAACATTACGAGAACCGCATGATGGATGGGCAAAACACGAAACTCGTTTTCTGTATTAAACAAGTTTCCAGAAGCATTGGCGTCCTGAGTTCGCATGATTTAGGAATGGGTTTCCGTACTGTTGCCATCTGCGGAGTCTTCTGTGTAACAAGCAAAGTTGTGATTCATTGCAAATCCTTGGGCACTCTGGCGGTATTAGTTGTCATTTCAAAAACATTGAATAAAGAGCGTGTTATTTCCACATCAGAAATTCACACTGCTATCATGTTGGTACTACTGAATCGAATACAAATGTTGTTAAAATGTAGACGTTATAGTTTGGAATAACTAATATAGTCACGAATTGTGAATCGGCAAGCGTTTAGAAGGAGATGGTCACGGTGTAATTGAATTTTTTTTTTACTAAAATTTCGATCTCAAGAACCTGAGGAAGACCACAAGAAATCTGTCATCATAATAGCTGACAAACCCGAACGAGAGTTGAACTGAAAACCCATAGGATGTGGAATTATTTATAGAGAACCCACTCGTTGTTCTGTCGAGAGTTAATGAAACGTTTTGGGTGTGGGGTGACCTGCAGTTGAGTTATGTTAAGACTGACTTTCATTAACCCTTTGAAACCCCAAATTTGAATTGCTTATTAGAAAATGCTGAAACTATAATTTTGAAATTTAAGTAAATAATTTAGCAGTATCGAAGTGCACATAGATAACGTTCAAGTTTTTTAGCCGTACCGCAAAGAAAACACGTCTCCATGACGAGGATCAATTTGTTAATGCTGTTCAAGGAAATAATCGCTGTTTATGTTGTGTGATAAAATATATATTTATTTTTTGTTGGCCTTTAAAGGTTTATGTCTGCATGTAATTAACTGAATCAGTGGATAGTCAGACGAAGGATGATAATGGCGGATTAGGCTCCTTTTTATGGTCCAGATATAAACTCCGTATTTTTTTACAACCATAGACTTGAAAGTATATTACTGAAAATATTCAAAAAATTAAACATTTAAGGAGTACAGTAACATATCAGAATTACATTAATTAGAATAAACTCACTAAAGGTTTATTGGCAGTATGTTAATCTTATGACGATTCAGCACAATATTGGTCTCAAACTCTTCAAAGCCGAGTGGTAACTATGTATACCAGGTTCTTTAACAATACGTAACTGCATTTTTAACTTGTAGGTTTTGTATGATTCTGAGAATAAGCAGTGATTATGTCCTTAAACAACGTTAACCAGCTGATTTTTGCAATGGTGAACCGCTGTGTTTTCTTTGCGGTACGGACTGGATTCTTAAATCTAGATAGTTTTGATATTCTCTTTCGTCTGCCGGACCGCTGGCTATCAGTGTGCACCCGGAAGGTCCTGCGATCGGTCATCTCGATATAGGATTTCTTGGTTTTCCTCTGCTGAGATGGTTCCCAATTACCAAGTAGCCCTTCTTATTTAAATTCATCAAAATTTACCCCGTTACAGCGGACGCCGCTAAATTAATTACCCACTTAACTTTAGAAATTATAGCTTCAGCATTCTGTAACAAGCAAATCAAAATTCCGTCGTCTCTGCTAGCAGGTTGTATCTAATTATCATCCTAACGACTTGAATCTTACTCTGTCGTTACCAGAAGGACGACCGGGCGTTGCCTGGGGACCTTCTAACTATAAGATGATCTTCCCCCCCCCCAAGAAATCGAAGTGCCTCTCACTTCTCCCCCCACTAATTTTCTCTTTCCTTCTACTCTCTCTCTCTTTTTCTCCAGAGGGCCAATTGGAATAGAAGTCACAGTAAGGAAGTGACACGCTAACTACTTTTCTCGAGAAATTTCTGAATGTTAAGCTTCCCGTGAATCTGCAACCATCCGAACAGCACTGAACACTGGCGTATCTTTGCAGTCGAAGCTCTTCTGGTGCAACACTTGTTCTCAGAAAGAGACAGAATATCGGCGCACAGCGTCGCGGCGCGGCGCTGTATCCGGCGCTCTCTAGCAGGCAGGCAGGCAGGCAGTTGTCTCCGAAGTCCGGTCGTAAGAGGCGGATCCAGCAGTTTCAGTGCGATCTGCATATCTGTAACAACTGATCACTAACTTCCACTGCCTCAGGGTGCAGACGCGCGTTGGCTTCCTAGAAGTGAATGTGGCTGTTGTGTGCTCAGGATATTATAGTTTGACTTGCATTGTTTTTAGTCTGATACGCCCTTAAATCTGTGAACACGTTTGTTTCATAGTACAGGGTTTGTTTTCGGTTCGACCGTGTTTCTCAGACATTTTTCTTGTTGACGTTGGATTTGTTGTTTCTTTTGCGACATTTCCGGAATTACTAACCGTAACAACGTGGGAGGAAGTGAAGAAAGGTGAGCTCAATAGCGATGTAATTGTCATAATTTGTCTTCTTATCAAATATCTGTTATCCCAGCGCTGCTGTACCCTTCACTCATTATGGTTAAATTCAGTATAATCTAACTAAAATATTCATAAAATGAATACTTATTTTTGGCATGTTTTTATTCCAACGTGAAAGTAAAAAAATGTGATAAAAATTACGAAATCGTAGTTAGAAGTAAAATAATTGTGATAAAAATTACGAAATCGTAGTTATGCAACGTAAAAATCTTCTTAGGTACAACCTTTGGACTACAAGGGGTTCATGGACCCTTGGTTGACAAACGGTGTATTATCCCATTACTGTTCTGTGCTCATTTTCCGTACAAAAATTACCAGAGCCGTGGGTGGGGGGGGGATTTGATGAATTTCACTATTTTTATAATAAATTTAATATAATGCTTCAGATCAAGGAGGATGTGATGGGTTGGGCACGTAGCAAGCACGGAGCGTTTATGAGTGAGTATTCTGTATATCTTTGGTCGGAAAACCTGAAGGGACGTGAGCACTTGGAAAAAGTGGGTGCGAAGATAATATTAAAATGGATCTTAGGGAAACTGTGTGTAAACTTGTTGTCTGGAATCGTGTGACGTAGGGTAGGAATCGGTGGCTGCCCTTCGTGGACATGGTATTGAACCTTCCGGTTCTGTAGAAGGCTGTGGATTTGTTCAATAGTAGTGCGACTATCAGCTTCTTTGGAGTTTATCCGGTTGTCGGACTCCACGGTGTTGGATCATTTTTTTTTTGAAAAGTTGATAGTTGGCACAACTGTTAAACAAATTATCTGCTGAACGCCAATATAGACAATGTTATGAAAATGTAGCTATTATATCCCGTTGAATATGTCTTCAAAATAGTTCAAAATCTTTAAATTTTCAGACCAAAATGCTGTACGCTTTTGTCATTTACGTGTTCTGGCTACTGAATTATCTTAGATTGATCACTGTGGTAATATTCGGTGAATAATACAAATTATAATCTTATTTTGTCCATCCTCCACGTGCGTACACTTCCTAGGTCCCCAGCAGCACACCTCATCCTTAAACACTGTCTCTCCGTCTTATTATCTTCTAGTGAGGGACGGAATTTGACACCTATGGAAAAGAAATGTTACATTTTTAATGATAACAGTGTCAATATTTTATGGAGACCCGGTGTGTTTAAACTGGACGTTCTTGTCACATTTCGTAAAATTCCTTCTCGGATTCTTCAATAAACATCCTCCATTTTTATTATTATTATTATTTAAAAAGTCTATATTCATGTTGAAGTTTGCTGTACATTTCTGCTCGATCATGCAGGGAAATTTTCAGCTGGTAATTTTTATTATTATAATAAAAACTCATTGAGCATAATACTTCTTTGAAAAAATCGTTCAGCTGTTCCAACGATTACCCGCATTTTGTGAGACCCGAAGTTTAATTACCGCGTTCACAAGATCCCGCATAACATTCAGTCCAATGCATTTATTAATTTGCTTGACAGTAGCTGAAAAGGCAATCAGAGACGAGAGTAGTAGAAATTGTTGTTAAAATCATGAAAAATATTGCTGGTCTCCGACTGTTATATGTAGGCTATTATTTGACAAAAAGGTCTTATTATTTAACATCAAAATTAAAGCCTCGGATTTAGTGTTTTGATAAAATATGATTATGAGATCTGACAAAAAACAGTACCAACACCGACTTCATTACTCTTATATAAATGGCAACGGGATTAACTTGTCATGACATTCTTTTAGATTATTTATCAAAAAAAAAAAAATATATATATTTGTTGGCGAAAGCTTATTTTTCATCCGATGTCCGTTTACGTTAATGCGCGATTAGACTGCTCACTTATTTATTTCACTAGTTCGCGATCAACGTTTAATCAGAGGGTCTAGTCCCGTGTCCGGGTGTGTATTAAATTCACCATGTAAATCGCGTCTCTCATTGAGCTCAGTTTTCCCGACAGATTTTAGCTAAACGCAGTAGCCTTTTCTGCAACTGACATATCTACCCTTTTACCGGATGCCGCTGTGTGTTACACTTTTATTTTAAAAAAAACCTTAAAAACCTTTAGAGACGAAGGAATATGTGATGTGGAAACAATTTAAAACTGCAATGAAGCAGCTGTTGGTAATACGAGAAGCAAAATTTGAGGGTAGTTTTCAGTCCTAAAGGGTCATGCTTTGAAAGGGGTTAATCTTCCACCATTTTAAGTACAGGACATCAACATTCATACTTGTTGATCGGCATAACATTCATTCTCTTCCAGGTGAACATTTGTAAAAGCCAAAAAAATTAATGAAGGACCCTGAACTCTGCCTGAACTCCACGCTGGGTCTGCAGGCAATTGTTTTTCGAAAGGAATTAGGGATAACCATAGGCTAAAATTCTAATTCGAAAAACACGTTTTTCTAAAAAAAGAAATGCATTAGATTAATTAAAAGCTTTTATTTTTTTTTTCCAGCAACGCAGCTCCCGGCTTCTAAATACGAAATATAATATCACATAGTTGTATTACAAAATATACGCTTCATTTCAGAATGGAAATTAGATATGAAGATTGTATATAAATTATCGTCAGAATAAAATTGTGCTCATGTATAAAACCCCTCCTAGTAATTCCCGTACAGTAAAATCCGCATGATTCCCAGTGGCAATGGGGGATGTTTTACTGGTAATTAAATTACTGTCCCAATTGCGTTGGGACTGAAAAATTAATTGTATTCGGGCCACATTCGAGTTTGCTGCTGCCCGTCGCCGTTGGCGTTGTCAGGCAGGCCACAAGTACGTCGTCTCTTTCTGAAGCTGAAAAATTATTTCTTACCTCAAAGAAAACACTTTGCGTTTCCATGACAACGATC